CGTCTAATCGTCGCTCTCCCGTTCCAGGCCGTGCGTTCCGCCCGTGAGGCTCGAGAAGCTAAGGCGACTGAGTGGGCAACGGTTGAGCAGGGCACCAAGGAAAGCTAACAATCGTCCTCCGAATGCGAAAGGTGCTGGCAGCGCAAAAAGATGCGGAAGAAGCCGTGGAAGAAGCCGGACGCTTGAACATTGCAAATGTGGTGGCTGCGCGGGTCGTATGTCTGTACGACCGTTTATTGTTGTGTTTTTATCTTGGGATGGGGACAGGAGCGAGGTAGCATGAGTTCAGCAGGGCACTATAAAGAGCTTGTCCAGTGCACTGGCATGGGCAGGCTGTGCAGCATTTCGAGAAAGCGGGCCAGGAGGAGGCTTGCACTAAGCACGTTTGCGTTCAGACTTCCAGCTCAAAGGCTGCTACAGTAGGCCAGCACATCAGTCTCACACGGACATGCAGGGGTGTGCAGGTTCTGCAGCGTCAGAGACACATGCTTGTGCGGTAGGCATCGGACATCAGGTTCCGATTCAGTAGAGGCTGACGATGCCGAGCACATGCATGCCCCTTCACATCATGCCAACGACGCGTGCAATCAGTTGAAATCTGACAGCCAGCGGTGTTCGAGAGAACGGGCAATGACGATGAACAACTCACTGCCAGATTTACCAATCTGAAACTGTGTGGCAAAGCCTGGGCAGGTGCGCTCCAAACTCGCCCCTTTCGAAAGTCGCCTTGCCGACGCGACTGCCGAGGGACCTGGCCGTTTCCACATCACAGAAAGCTGAGAAGTATCCATTGCATATGGTTCACCATTCTCTCGTGCTGCCCTCACTGCTGCTGTTACGAACCAGTATACATATGGGGTTAGAGCTTGGATCTGTAGTTCTTCTTCACTTGTGGTAATGCCGTCATTTGGTAGACGACTTGAGACGCAGATTCAGAAGAGACAGAACACTCGGCCAAGGCTAAGGTGCCACCAGGGTCATAAAAATTGCTGACCTGTCGAGGTCAGATTTCCACTGAGCCCATGTGCTGCAACTGTTTAGCTAATCGTTGATGTCGCTAAGGAGACGGCATCAAAGGCCGCCACAGCTTACGAAGACCTGCTCCAGGATTGTGCTGGGGGAGAGGGGCACCAGCTCTGTTGCCAACGATTGTGTGCTTGGCTTCCAAATTTGACAACTGCTCTCTTGTCGTGCTGAAGGCACAGGCATAACACACACAGAGGCCGCCGAAACTCGAACTCGGCATGCCATTATTTTTAATGCTTCTCATGCCAGTACAGGATATTTCGCGCGCCAACAGTCCCCTGCCTTGGACAGCTACAAACGCAGACTCCACATGTCTTCCCGACACAAGCGGCACAATTGACTCTGGCCGCGGCTTCCCCTGATTCCTCGCCATGGCCACCATGTCGCTGACTCCGACACTGGCCTCGGCCGCATGTTGGCAGGCTGCGTGCATTAGTTTCTTCTTTCTTAAACCACCTGTCAAGTCGTAGCGATGACAGAGTGCGAATCCATTAGTGAATGGGGCATTACTGAGATCCTTCACACAGGAACTTCTGCGCATTCGGCTGTAAGCCCGAACCACCGCTACCCTGGTTCCCGGCCTTTGAACTAGCGATGCAAGTGGTCGCATACACACTTCATCAGCGCGAGTATTCGTGCTGTGTGCGCCGTGAAGCATGTTCGCAAAACTGCGAGGCATCTTTTTGGCTGGCCCGAGTCGCTGCCCCACATTGGCTGCTGTATCTCGGCTTGTAAATACTATCTATATATATATATATATATACATACATATACAGATTTGAATTGCTTGTCTGTTTGTTTGTTTGTGTATGAATTTTTGAGCATCTGGCAACACAGGCTTCCAGGGCTCAACGATGAGAGGCGCATGCAAGCATCTGTAGTAACTCAGTAGTAGCAGAGTAGGGCAACATGGACGGGCTGCAGAACATCGCACCAGGAAAAGCGGAAGGCATCTCAAGGAGCTTTCCCGCTGAATCTGCTTCTGAAGGACTAGTCAAAACTTTGCCGCTTCTTACAGACAATTGCTGGCAGCCGCCCTCGACACTAATCGATATGTTCCTTGGCATTTCGGGTTCCTGCCGCGTGCTGGAGCGACGAATTTCGTCGAACATGTTCTTTGGGTCGGTGGGCGGGTGTAGCCGTTCGAGCCAGTGGTGACTTTGATTTGTGGAGGCGTGTTTCCCCATTTGGGTTTGTCTCAATCTCCGTGACTCGAGTGCACAGTCGGCTTGTTCAGCAGAGATGAGACGAAATGTTTCAAGATGTTTCAAGGCATTTCGGCAGTCTGGACTCAGCCAAAGGCCTCTCGTTTGCAGAAAGGGCAAGCATTCAGCCGTGAGCTGCAGCGTGTTTGAGTTCTTTTTCTTGAGGCTTCTGAAGCATCAGAACGAGTGATTGCGGAAGGGTTCCCCCGGCCCCCCACCCTCCTGGCCGTACGATTTTGGACATCAGCACCATCACCATGGATCATCACTGTCGCCAGTCAGTCTACTGTGTGCCCAGGTGAAAAAGCATACTGGGCTGCGAGCTTTACAGGTCGCACACGGATCATTTGGGATCCGGTCCTTTATTGAGCTTGTAATGTGATGACGGCCACCTGCCCATCGACCACAAGTGAGCTGTGTAGAGAGGTAAAGGAAGAGGTTGAATTAGTCAGCTGAGTCAATCTGTCTCCTGCCAGGTCTTCTCCACGCAGTGGTGCTTGTCGTTCTTTGTGTCATGGCGCTTCTTGACAAACCGGACCTTCTCAGCTCGACGGATTTCTTCCAGGACACTCGTGCTGAAAGCAGGGTTGCGGGCCTACCAGCGCACAGTGTGATTTCGTGCCACCCCGACAGCACTGGGTCACTGGTCCGAGTGTGCAGGAGACCGACATGACGCAGCTCTGTTGCCAGGTCTTTATGGGTGACGTGGCGTGTTTAGCGCATCTGAGGCTGGGGCCGTAAGGGCTTGTGCAACCAGTTCCCGTTCCATGAAAATCGATCTCAAACTCCAGATCAGTGGCGCTGCTACCGCCATGCAAGTGGAAGTGTCAATATTCAGGCTACATCTTGCAGGACTTGTTCTTGTCGATCTATTTTGGGTCTGCCTGGCCCGGCTGGCAGACAAATCTGCGACTTGCCGTGCGAATGTTGCAAGATTATGGCCTACGTAATTTCAATGGTGTCCAGCAGATTCAGATCCAGTCACTGTCGGGATGGCCCATCCGAGGATCCACCATGTGCTCGTGCTGGTTGTCTGGTGCAGTGCTGAGCTTGTTTAGAGCATGTTGCAGCTTGGTCGCCAATCTGCGGTTTCTCCGGAGGTGGCAGCTCACGGCAGGCCGGTACGCGCAAGGGCCGGCCACTGTTGCCATGCTGCCATTGGCCAGCAAGCACGGCTGGTTGGTCTGCCAGAAGGGGTCAGCATTCAATTCGAGACTAAATTACAGTTCAGTAGCTTGTTTCGGAAATCTTGTGACGAGCCGTGTCTGATGCTAGGATGTTCGTCTGCATGCGCCAGCTTCCCCTCTAGTTCAGGATTCCTACAAGCTTCGGCTAGAAAGCGTCAGAGATATTTTCAAGTATCGAAATGCACTTCCTGGACTTTAGAAGGAGTTAGTGCACAAGGAAGGCCGATCCGATGCCTTCTCCCAAGGTGTGAGTTTTCGACACCTTTTGTGGCCATGCGCTGGTTCCTGGACCGGGCCGGCATGAAATCTAGCTGCTTGGTGTATGTACGTTGCCGATTGACACGGTTGGTCTTGAGCTTTTGGATGAAGCGGTATTGTCTTTCTTGTCTGTTTATCACCTCTTCGCCCCATAATCCATGATAACCCATGCATCATCTCGTTTCGGGTAGCCGATACTTGATCACGAAAGGTACGTTGTACATCGTCAACGGAGCAGCGAGCTTAGGATGTCAAGTGTGGCATGACTTGCAACTACTTTAAAAGACCGGAAGGGTAGAGATTTGACAGCGCCAGCATGCGTTAGCGACTGCAACCTTCTGATGCTGCTGTCGTCGAGTTTGCGAAGTCAGTCTAAACAGTTCGAGAAACGAATGCAAAGCAAGTGCCGTCCGCTTGGACGGATTCCCCAGATGACCATGCTCATTTCCTTCTTGATTTTCCGTGCCGGGACCTCGGCATGTGCGGTCTGGGCCGCGCAGACGCATGTCTGTGCTTGAGGGCGGCAGATCCTGATGTGTACTCGAACAGGAAAAAGATAGGAGCTCCATTGTTCCAGTGCTCAGGTCATCCTTTACAGCTACATGCTCGTGCGCATCTACCATATGCAGGATGGGCCACGAGTCTGCATGATCGATGTGCCACTGCACAGTCTGTCGGTCTGCAAAGCATGAACTCTTCAAGTTCAGCTCCCCAATCGTTGCTGATGGTGCTCGTAAGCACGTGTGACACTTCATGCCTGCAGTGACCGGTTGAAAAGCAAGTTAGGTTGCCTGGCCGCCTGCATGAATAGCGCGTCATCCGTTGCAGACATTGCACACTACAACACTACATTGCGCCTCGGGGTCTCATGCTGATTCATTCGGCAGCATGGCTGCCACCCAGGTTCTTGCGCATTCCAGTCCTGAATCGTTGCTTGTTCCTGCTGGGCTACTTCGGTGGAGTCTGAACCTTAGCTTTTGGAAAAGCACTTGGTCAGTGCCATCGCATGTCCGGCAACGATGGATAGTGAGCGTATGAACAAGCTGCAATCGGCAGAATGCAGGACAAGAAGTTGTCAATGAGTCCAAATCATGTGAAGCGCATTACGCAGGACTAGTAGTTCCTTCAGCTGCTTCAGCAGCTTGGGAACCATCACTCCATTATCATCTTGATGTGTTTGAGCGGCAGTAAGCCGTTCCCAATTCATCTGTGCACTTGGTCGTTCCGGACGGATACATGTCTCCAGTCTCCCGATTTGAAACTCTGCCAGGCTGCTTTGCAGTATTTCTGGTTCTTCAAGATTGCTCGAGGGGCGTGCTGCCCTCAGCTGAGGGTCTAGTTGCAGCAGGCCGGCCTCTGAGTCTGTAGCTCGCAGTCAACAATTTCTGGGTCCCAGAACCGATCCACTTGCAACATCTTCGTACTGCTTCGTACTTGACCTTCGCTGTTTATGTCATCCTGGTCTGCGGCTCTTCGGGTGTCCCTCGCGAGTTAACATGATGCCTGTCACAGCCCCACCTAGCAAGCACTGATCGTCGTCGCCATTATCCTCCTCGTCGCCATCCGGTGCATGTTCAGTATCGTAACCAACAATTCCGTCATTGTCATCATAATTATCTCATCATCACCATCGTCGTAACGCTATACAGATGCGAACACAAACACCGTGCATGTAGCTAGGTACTGGCTCAGTGCGAATATTCGTTGTCAGCGCTGTTTTTTGTGGTTCGATGATGACAAACGGAGCAGTGAAAAATCACCAAAGGGTGGAGAAAGAAGGCGAATACATCAGTTACAAGTCATGCGCGAGCCCGGTATGCCGGGCTGACTTCCACCACTTCTAGGACTGGATTAGGAGTTGCCACGGCATAAACAAAAGCGAAGCTTCACTGCTGCTACATGCCATGTGGTTGCAAGCACGGGGTTAAAGGTTGCACGCGATCCAGCCCGGATTTGCCGTAGTCCACGACTGGGGCCCTGTCCAAGGTACAAGACACTGACTGCCGGCCTCTTGGTTGCACATCGGCGACATGTCTGGGTGGAGTTGTGCGTTGCAGATCCTGCAAACAGTCTGGCCGGAAGCTGTCATGTATTGTAAAGATTCAGTGTTTTTAAGGTGATCCGGCTGCACATCCTGCAAATAGTACATAGCTCCCACCCGGCTCTACCCCATCGAAATCGCCGGGTGGTTGTGAAGGCTATTGCCTGAGTCCAGGACCTCCTGACGACAAGGCTGCTGCCAGCATGCAGCAGAAGTCATTGAGCCAACATCGTCCATTGGCGAAAGAAGATGCAAAGACGTGCGCAAGTGACACGGCGGCTTGGTGGCAAAGTCGTTCCGTTGTTCCGTGTTTGTTTGTGTGCGAGTGCTGTGTTTCCCTGTGACTCAATATTTGCATTGATCCTCATGCTAGGATGGCTTGGCCTTCGGCATTCCATTCGGATGTCAGCTGTCAGCAGTGGGTCGCTGAGGCATCTACAACATCAAGTGAGCAGAACTCCTCTGGAGAAAACACAGATGAAACAGGCCGGCGAAGCTTGGCGTCGTGTGTCTACCGGTAGCAGTTGCACCTCGCTGCAGAAGCCGGGCAGGGCCAAGTTTCTGCCGTGAGTACAGTATTTGGGGGTGTAGGATTTTTACATGTTTCCACTTCCTGGCAGTGTCGCGGGTTGCAGATCGAGTCGCGGAAATGCAGAGTTTCAGAAATCCGAGCGGCAAGGTCCTGGCTTTTCTTCGCAAAACCCGATAAGTCATAGGATGTCATTGGTCTAGATACATTGATACATAGCTCGACTTTTGTATTCCGGGCAGGTCAAAGAGGAGCGCGAATCCGACGAGGCCTTCTCTTTCAGCTCACATTCGGCCCAGAATCCGGAAGATCCGCAGCGCTTGATAATGTGTAGTGACAGAACACTTGCCGTAGTACAAAGTAGCCAGATGGGGTGGAGCCCATTCGGAAACCCAACCCTTGTTGCTGAACCTCGTAGAGTTCGCCAAGAGCCCAGCTCATACTGCATCCCTTCAGCAGTCCTGTGTCCGATTCAGTCGTCTCTTTCGCCTGGCAAGAATTCAGCTAAGCACTTTAGGGTTTAGGGTTCACAAGATAGAGAGATTGATGAAATCATACTGCTGGAGGCACTTCAGAGAGACCTCTTTCAGAAGGGTTTATGAGTGCTACAGCAGCTTGTTCCGCCAGGAAGAGCTGACAAGCCTGAGGCCCGGGACGTGCCAGACTGGTAAAGCCGCTGATGGTTGCTTTATGTTGCTTTCGCAGTAGTCGCAGAATGTAGCGAGCATTTAGCTAACAGAAACGATCAATGATCAATGTGAGCAGTAGCGACATCAAAAGAATGACAGCTGAAGGTATCCAAAGCTTAGCAAGGTATGCAATACCCCAAGATGGTATTCCACTTGTAGGCCACCCCTAAGACGAACAAAGAGCGACACTTTGGTGAGAGTAGGGTTCGTACTTGCGAACAGCGGGAGCACAACGATTCGAGATTTGGCAACCCTCCGACAGAAAACCTCCGAAAACAGCTAATTGCAACAGCACCGTGACGAGAGCACGATTTCATATATAGCCCTGAAGCATAAATGCCAGCGGCACTGTGTCGAAACGCTTTGGAAGCCTAAGCGGGAGAGCGCGGCAGTCCCATGGATTGTGAAAATGAAAGTGGCGAGATGGTTTTGGAGCAAAGTCCGCACCGCGCTATAGTCAGAAACGAAGTCCACCCTGCCTTTTCCTGAACATTGGAACCCCACTGCGTTCCCACGCCTTTTTGGGATAATATACGGAGTTGCACTACGGCCCAAAGATTTCAACCTGAAGAGTAATAATTACCCTAACCCCTAAACCCTAAACCCAGAAAGCAGAGAGTTCGGTGATGTTCGGTGATGGCATCCTTCCAGGACTGAAAGCCGGGCCTGAGCTCCGTCAAGGCCCGGGTTGCTGCTTGGGATCTGTTCCTCCCCAGATGAAAGCATATGTATATATATATATATGTATGTATGTATGTATGTATGTATGTATGTTATAAGATAGGTATATATGTAGGTTGTGACAAGACTTCATCTGACATTTTTGACCAAGATCCAGTTTTGAGGCCAGTCTTGAGGCCTTAGCTCAGCGAGGCTCAGTCTGCTTCGCACACGCTGTCAATGGTCCTTCATCACCCTTACAGCCAGAAAGCTCTGATACCCGCATGCGGGACCCCGGGTGCGAATGGATCATTGATTGCGGGTTGCCCAGCCTGCGTGCTGACGCCATAACATGGAACCGTCTGAACGCCATTTAAGGCACCGCCAGATTTGCAAGGCTGCACGCTTATCGCTCATGGTGCCACGGAATATTTTGCGTCCAGCCTATGAAGCAAGTGTAGAAGGCCACACGCCACGTCTGGTTCCGCTGTGGCCGCCATGTGGTGTCAAATTTGCGTCGGAAGGGCATCGCTTGGGCTCGAAAGTCAGGGCTTGCATGCACAAGAACGGCATGCCGAATGCTGCCGTTGATGTTCGACGTGTAGCTGTTCATTTGAAGATGTGGGGAGTTTGGAACACAAGTGCTTCTCCCAGGAGGGGCATTTAATCCTAGTGTGGGTGCAATTCGAGAGGGGCAGTTTCTCGATGCTGTAAGTTTCTCGATCTTCTGCTGGGAATCATGGCATACATAAGTTTCCGGGAGTTTAATTTTGGGAGTCATGCCATCATGGGAAAGATCAAAGATCGCACTTCCTTTGCGACAGATGAATAGCTGTCAAACCTCATAGCTTAACTTTGGCTCATGACTTCTTTCCATGCCCTCTCCACTACAACTTCGCGAAGATGCGAAGTTGTCCTGCTGTGGCCAAGCTCCAGGACAGGTTTGCCACTTTCTCCCTTCCTGTGGGGGAAGTCGTCAAGACCCGTTCTTTTCTACGAGTCCCCAACGAGCAATGTGGGACGGCGGAAGCTTTCGGAATCATTCCCAGAAGGACATGGCGGTAGGCCCACTTTGACAGGCCGGCGCCGTGAAGGCAACAGCAGTTGCCGTTAACCCGTTGGTTTTGCTTTGTCTGAATTAGACCGGAGCTTGCAACCCGGCTCGAATGTCTGCTTTGGCAGAATATAGTGCCAGAAAGATTTTTCGCTTGTGGGGCCGGCGTTCTTTTGCAAGGGGACAGCTGCTGAAGGCCAAAGCCAGCGCACGCAAAGGGGCTTGGTCTTGGTTTATGAAAGGTAGTACTTGGGTGCACCTCCGGGCCAAGTACCTCCCGAAATTACAATAGAGGATTTAATACTGGGAGTGGGAGATATCTCATTATGGCAATAACCGTGAGGCTCCGGAAAGACAATCGCAAGTCCGTTGTCCGGATCATTGCTCAGTTCTCGTTGTTGTGATTGTCGCTACAGCAGTTTAGTGAGAGTGTAGTGGTTCTTTCGGTGGTTTGGTCCTTTCGACAGTTCCATAGAGCCGAAAGCCAATTGCGCTGCAAGCTGGTGATCTGGCGTGCTTGGATCGCAGCATTGTCGCTCCCGAGTGAAAAACTTTGAGTGCCGTGCTTGATGCGTCATATTGGAGACTTGACTTGCTAATCGCAGTGTCGGAATTCACTGGAGTCTACTCGTCACTCTGCATTGTTATGTGGCTTTGCAGGAGGCAAAATTGTAGTCACAGTCAACTGTGTCATTATCATCATTGACGATCATCACATCAGGATAACAGTTCGTACCCTCAAGGAAGCTGTCGAAGCTTGGTGCTTTAGGATAAGACGTGCAACAGCTTGAAGCCTTCAAGTAGCATCTCAACTTCTTACTCCGGCGGGTCGTTATGAAGTGTTGAGACACAGGCTCGTGTTTTGGAGAGAGGGGGCACACTCCCTGAAGTCAACGTCAATGCTGAAACTAGAGGGCATTTTGAAGGTGGCCCAGCCGGCGCAACACAACATGGACCCCAGAACCGACTTCGAAGCCATCGACTAGGATCCCCGTGGACCCCAAGTGCAAGCAGCCTGGCCCACTCCACGAAGTCGGGAGAGTAGACGTACAAAAAGAGGGCTTTCGCCTCGAAGGTGCCGGCCTTGAAGAAACGCAGCAGGCTGGACACTTCTTGGCAGAGCATGTCGCGAAAAAGCATCAAACAAAGACGTCGCGGACGGTCCAAGTTACGATGCAGGTCGTTGGACGTAGACCAGAACATGGTGCCCAGGCCTCGGTCAGTCCTGAAGCATTCCGCCTCTAGCGACGGCATCAACAACCAGAAGAGTCCATCAACTTGCTGGAGGGCTCAGCGTGTCGCACCCAGGCTCGCCGCCAAAGCAGCTGCTGCAGCCTTCAACTCAAAACAGGCGGCCGGACTTTGGACACCTTGGACCTTGATGTGTCACGCGACTGCATCCGTTGTTCCTACCGCGAGTACGCTGGACTTGGGCCTTTCGGTCAGTCGAGATTATTAGGCCCTACTTTTGCTGAATCAGGCATTGCTTTTACCCGCAGATGCCAGCAAGCATCTTGTGCGACCCCTTGCGACGGCACACTCCTGCGCATCCTGCCGCAATCGACGTCGATTTCGCGGAGAGTATCTCATCTCTGTTGGCTTGGAGCATCTATAAGCCAAAAAAGACTATGCAAAGAGCCCCAGTCCGATCAACGCACACGGAGGGTGACTAGTTCACAAGGGCCAGCTCCATCATGCACGAAGTCTTTCTTGAACTCTCCCACGGCGCCCTTTAAAGCAGAGCTTCGCACGCATCCAGTGAGCTGCCTTTCTGACTTTTAGGGCCATTCAGGGCTAGTCCTGGTGAGCCATGGGCCGCTCAAGGTCGCGATCGAGGCTCCCAGAGAGATGTTGACGACGTAACCGGCCACGATTTCAATGTCAGTAAATAAGGTATTCAGGACGTGAGTGTGCACATTGCCCAGAACTTCCCAGAACTGCCAAAATCTGTCAGAGAAAGCTTGGCCAGAATTTGGTTGAGGTTGCAGTTGAAGCAGAAGCTAGCTTTGGAAAGCCAGCAGCTCTGCAGGGATCGCAGGCGCAGCCCTTCACGAAGGAGCGCTGAGATTTCAACTTTCGGCCTTGGGGCCCAGGCCTCCTAGGCCCTAGGCCTTCTGCCGAGCTGCGCCCTTAAAGGAGGCGAAGCCCGACTCCGCGAAGGCGACGCCGGAGCCCCACGCCTCGGCGCAGGAGCCCGGACCGCAGGCCAGTGCCGTACCGACTTTTTGTACATTGCTTTCCGAAGAAGCTTTCTTCCTCTTCCCTTTTGGACATGAAGCGTGACTGCGACAAGCGACACGCCTCCACAGAGATGTGACTCACTGACAACTCGCCTTGGATATGGACTAGGACCCTTTGAAAAGCATCATAGTCAGACGGCCAGGCGAACGCAACTGTATATTACATCACGAACCTCTCTGCCGTGACCAGAATCTAGATATGCATGCAGCCACCGGCAGGCGACGGAGCCTTGGCTTCAGCAAATGCCCCGAGGCACGTTGCTGTGCACTGCACAAGAAGCCCCACAGGTTTCAACTTTGTTTGATTCCAATTGCCTCAATGTTCACATGCCGCACTGTCGTGCCTTTGTGCGTAAGAAGCTTTCGTGGCACCTTGCCAGATTGACAAAGTCACACATGAGGGCACTGGGTGGCGATTAATAATGTCATCATGATAATGACAGTTCGATATAGTTTCTGCAAGACATATCCCCTGTTTGCGACATTCGACAGGTAGCCGACTCCCATGAACTTTGTATGTGTACAAAAGTCACCAGCCCGAAGAGATTCAGCAGATCATGTTGAAACCGGGTTTCTTCCAGCTCAAACTTCAACCAAGGAGCCCCTCCCGGCGGCGGAGCCCGCCAAGGCGGTGCAAGCTGAGCGTCGATGAGATTATGTGCACATAATGATATGATGTAACGATATAGTGCATCTACGCGCACATACGTGGGTTTTGAAGTAGCCTGGGTCAAAGCGCAAGTAACTCCAGGAAGTTTCGATTGCAAGTAGTTGGCCCGATCTGCTGGTTTGTGTCACAGGTTGTGAATAGCGCTTCCCAGGGCAAACTTCACCTTGTCAACTTAAGCTCAGGCTGCCCTGACTCTGAATAGCGCAGTGCTTCAGCTATTCTTACTTGCTTTTTTACTGGTCAGTCTGTGCGCCGTGCAACTCCCAATAACTTTTGTAGATTCTAGAGGTGTCTCCTGTGTTTGGTCAGGCAATTTCCCATTTTCGCACGTGTGCATAGGAGAGTTTACCGGGGCCCATCAGAGCTCGAATGCGGACCAAAACATGCAGAGTCTGCCTTGTCCACGAGATGCAAGGCATAAGTCAGTTCCGAAAAGGTACCACCACAAGCTGCTTTCAAGCTACATAAAGCGAGTTGGTGCCCAAAGGAGTACCTTAGTTTGCTGTTGGGCGCAGCCCAAGCGCGCAGCCTCCAGGCGACGCAGCCCCTCTAGGCGGAGAAGCCCCTCGAGGCTTTGAGGGTGTGACGTAAAGACCGTATGCAATTCAGGATCTTGCCTTCACGCAGGGGTCGATTGAAACTCCCCTCGCAGCAAGTCTTTCTGAGAGCAAACGGGAGATTGATGCTCAGCATAAATTACTCGACAGCTGGCAGGCGGCGAAGCAACAAGAGGACTCCGGCCGATCTGTGGTGCTTGGTTCGACCATGCTGTAGCAGTTTCGATTGTTTGTCCGCTTTCACCCAGACTCTTTTTTTGTTACTACTGTTTTCAGCTCTACTTGGAACTGGCTCAAGCCATACAGGAAGTTAGGCCTTCCAATGCATGCGGAGGCAGACTCGTTAAGCCTGGCATAGTCGGTCCCCTGTAGCAGAACAGAACCCACAGAATCCAACCGGCTACTGGTGCTACGTTCTCCTATCAACGGGTAGGTAGGTCTGGGATAGGAGGGTCACATTCCTGCATGCGATCTGCAGTCTGCTCTTTTCATTCAGTTCTGTTCAGATGTGAACTTCCCGTGGCCATTTTGGGTCGAGGCGATCGCCTCGAAGGTCCGGGAAGGATCTGTTTTTGTGGCGAAGGAGAAGTTAGGGCCTGGGATCAAAGCCATGGCTGCTCCTGCTTGGGATCACCAAGGTTGGTATCAGCCTGCTCCTGCTCAGGGACAGGCTGAAGGTGGTCACCGACGTGATCAGTGGCAAGGTGGCTCTGGCGGCGGTCGCCGCGGAAGGGGCGATCGTAGGGGTGGCGGCGGAAATTTCCCGCGAGCTCAGGCTGCTCACAACCCTTACGATGTTCGGCTCCCTGACTTTATCGAGTCGATCGCCGAATGCGAGGACGATGCTCGAAAGACCTCCATCATCATGGTGGACAACAGAGATGATCGCATCGTTTCGCCTTTTCAGGCCTGGTTGGTCCGTGAAATTATGACCAACAGCTCGCATTCTGTCAATGTTCTGACAGAACGGGATCAAGTGATGCCACCCAGCTCGGGTTTTCACCTGTCGCTTTTCGCGAACTATACGCTCGACGGGATCAAGGCAACGGTCGCGATCTCGATCGACTCGCAGACCGGTGCTCCTTGTGGTGGCTGGGATCCCGACACAGCTCGTGCCTTGAGTCACGTGGCTTTTCAGCCTTTCACGTGGCCAGTGCTCAGGGACACGTCGCCGTCGTACACTGATGTCAAGCTGTACAACGGCAATGAGATCCTTGTTCACTGGATTTTCCGTGGGTACCGAGCGGACACGGACCTATCCGTCCAGCAACAGTTCGCTGACGAGTACTTCATCCGAGGCGTTCGCCAAGGACGTGCTCGGCTGTCTGTGGTGATCGCGGCCTTTTCAGGCTGGCGGGTCTCGGTGTTCTCCTTCGAGTGCGGTGGTCAAACCTACTCGATCGGGCCAAAGGGCACCGTGGTCGCTGGTGACAGTGCGCGATCGCGCTTTGAGCTCCGTGTGGCTGAGCGTTCCTCAGAGGATCCTTTGGGAACGATGCAGATCGAGTGGAGTTTCGCTTTCGCGATGCCAACAACAAGATCGACCTGAAGTGCTCTCGCACCTCAGTGCCTGCGACATGGCTGACGGTCTCGCATATCAGCGGGCCGACGTTGATCCAGACCATCACTCGATGCCGTGATCAGAGGGCACGAGTCGAAGGTCCGGAGCAGACTGAGCAGTTCGCTCAGCTCGCAGCAGCTCACTCGCACTGGTGGCATGGTGCGGTGACGCTCGATCCCGCGAAGGCTGGAGTTCTGGTCTCCTTTGTCGGTGGGCTCGACGCCGGCAATTTTCATGTGCAGACGGAGAGCAGCTCTTTGTGCGGGAGCCGGAGATCGTACCGGTCAAGGCGCTCGCCGAGATCTCACATGATGGGGCTGCGGTGGCTCCCGTTCCCCGCGGGCCTCCGGCGCTCGCCCAGCAGGCCTGGTCTTCGGCTGCTGATTCAGCCAGTGCTCTGATGGACGTCCCGGCCGGCTCTGGCGAGGTGCAGCTTCGCTCGCGAGCCCAGGACGATCTTCAGGCCAGGGCGTTCGCCTCGGCCGTCGATCCGGTCAACTACAACCAGGACGACGAGGAGGACACACGTGGTCACGTGTCGGATCCAGTCAGGGATCAGGCACGTGATAATCGCTCCTTCTCCCGATCGACGGCCAAGCTCGCACCGGCGCTCTTTGCAGAGATGACGGGCCCAGGGTCGACGTTCATGCTGGGCGGCCGCTCGGCTCCGTCGGCCCAGACCTCCACCGTGACGGTTCGGGAGGTGATCGAGGCGGAGCCTGCTCAGGACGAGCCGCAGAATCTGCTTGGGCCGATCGGTGAGCCAACCTCCTTCAGGCCACACCGCACACCGTGATCGAGGGTGTGAAGTGGCGATCGCCCAGTTTTGTTTCAGGGCGCAAGCTCGCGAGAACGAGCGATTTAATTTTGTTTTCGAGTTCCTGTAGCCTGCTGTCGCTTTACCTTCTTACAGCCCGCTCGGGAAGAGCATCAAAAAGTCGAGCCGCTCGGTCGCGCGAAGTGTACTGAGTAGCTCTGCTTGCAGTTCACATGTTCAGGTCGGTATGTTCTGTTAGGTCTTGCTTCTGCTCTGCATGCAGTTGTTCATGTTCTGTTTTCACAAGCAACTGTCATGCAGGGGGGGGTCTCGGGAAGTCACTCTCTCTCCTTCTCTCGTTCGTTCGTCGTTCCTGGGATGCTCGTGATGCAAGCTCGCAGTTGGCGGTTCTTCCTGCCGATAGCAGCTCGCTCTCAAGTTAGCTCCCAAGAGGATGCTGCAGGTCACAGCATCCCAAGACAGATGGACGGCGAAAATTCTCGCATACCCTTGTTTCGATGCAGCGTTCGTGTCTGCTCTGCTGGCTACACAGCTTGCAAATCTGC